ATCTTGATGGTGGACTATAGCTTGATCGTAAGGACTTTAAAAATAAAATAAAAAATGGATTTTCAGCAAAAGTAAATGGAATATTGCTATATACTAATGCTCGTAACAACAAAGTATGTAATTCATTGGTTTTTTCCGATGATAAAATAGCTTTATCAAAATAATCAGTTACTAAAACTGCTTTGTGAGTAGGAACTTCAGTAACTTCTTCGGATTTTTTTTTGTTTACAGTACGTGAATAAAGTATTTTACTTTCAGCTGAAATTTTACGGCATAGATTAAGCATATGATTTGTCATTGCTTCTTTACGTGCTTCAAATATTTGGGCACAATATGTACATTTTGCATTATATCGTCGGGCTTTATCATTTTTTAATTGTTTTGAACGCAAAAAGCCTGTCCAATGAGTGCTGAAATTTTTAGGTGGAGATATAAAATCCTCATCCAAATCCAAAGTATCAGAATCCATAATATCTTCGGATTCAATAAAATCTTCAGATTCAGTAATATTTTCAGAATCCATGATATCTTCGGAATTTACAATATCTTCAGAATTCATGATTTAAAAATAATATTGAAAAAGGATAGTAATATAACTTTATATGAATATAGTGTTAATTTTAAAGAATTAATCAAACGATGTGTTAAGAACTTGAGGTTAAAAAAATTTACTATAAGTATTGAAGACAAAGAACAATTGCTTTTTACAAGATCGCTTTTTCTACTTCTTTTATACATTTTAATCAATTAATTTGCTAACTATTTTATTTTTAGATTTCTTTAAAACGATCAACTCCTTGATACATATTTTTCTTAAATTTTGAATTTAAAACCTGAATGCATAACGAAAATAATACTATGCAATAAATAAACAAATAAATAAATAAAATAATAAAGTAACGAAAAGAAAACAAAAAGGTATGCAAATAAAATTCTTTCTTAATAATTATTATACAAATAGTTTCGTATACATCACATGACCATTATAATCTATCATGCATGATACGTATATATTAATGTATGAACAAGAAATATATGTATAAGTAATAATTTAAAAACTATCGATATGTGATGTAATTAGTTATTTGCATAAAAAATGTTATAAGAGATTAGTATAAAGGCTGTAAATAAAAAAAAGTGCACTGTAAATAAATAACAAAAAATGGTGTAATCAAGGAATTTATAACATATAAGCTAAAAAAAACTTCAATTTTCTGGTTTTGCTATTGCCCGCTTTGTATAATTAGGTGCTTACCCGTCTACCCAGATATGACAAATCAACAAATGCATTGAGAAAATGTAGTCTTGAAATTAAAAACAGTTATGCATGCAATGAAATATGATAATAACACAAAGGCCGCTTGATCAGTCATAGCAGTTAGTAACGTTGTTTGCACTAAGCTATGAGTAATTAAAAAG